CTAGTACTAGTACGCCAAATAGAGAATTTGCGCTCAAGAAGGTCTTTTTTCCGCTTGCTCTTGCGTGTCGTGGACGATGCACTGATGTGTATCAAGTTGATACAATGTTGTCGACCGTTCGACTGCTCTTGCTGCTTAAAGCGAGTAGCGACATCCGAGATACTAGTACCCAGGGTCATTCTAGTTCTAGTTAGCACACGATACTAAGCAAGGGCTGTTTCGGTCGTCTCGTGAGGCCACGTCATGGTATCCGGATGCCCAACGCCACATGTTTTTGCGTTGGCGACGTTTCAACGGCATGGCGCGCGGCGAGCAATCGGTCCGCAGTGCTGCACGATGCGACGAGAAGGAAGCAGCTTCTTTGCGACGTCGCTGCTCGTCGCGTCGTCTGCGTCTGTTGTGCGGCTGCATGTCAACAATGTACCCATGGCCTGCAGCTTTGAGGGTTGCTTTCTTATCTGCAACATGGACCACGTCATCACCAACGTGTGCGAGCAATTCGGGGTGGCTACCACGAGCACTTGTGTTCTCGACGAGTGCATGCTTTCCTGTGGCGATAAGCGCATGACGATCTGCGCGCCTCAGCGTCTCAAGGGCACGCCGCGCCGCTTGTCGCTGGAGGTACCAGGCCACCGCGCCCTCGGCGCAACGATATTTGACGCCGGCGCACCGCCCCTTTGGCCCAATGTAGAGTTGCCATGTACACTTGAAATCGATCTCACGGTGCGTCTGTGTAGGGTCAAATTTGCTACAAAATGGACCCCGATGTGAACGCGACAGCAATCTACGGCGCAATGGCGGTCTGGGAGGCCCAGACACCGCTGCGTTTTCTGCCGTGTCGATCAAATTCGACTGCGTGCTGCGACCCGTGCGGCGACTACGTCCACATTCAAGGTGGCGCAGGCTGCTACGCGTCGCTCGGGTATGTCGCAGGCGCGTGCGAATTTGGCGGTCAAGCCCTCGTCCTCGGGCCCGCCTGCGCGATCGGCAACATCATCCACGAGCTCGGCCACACGGTCGGCCTCGTCCACGAACACCAGCGCGCCGACCGCGACGACTATGTCAAAATCTACGTCGAAAACATCGATCCGCTTCATGTCCCGGACTTTGCCAAGGGATCGATCCTCCTTCACGGCTCCAACGTCAGCATCGTGTCCCTCTGGGCGGCAACCGACAACTACGGTACGCCTCAAATCGCTCAAGATGGAACGCGATCGCATCGAGTTAGACTACGACTCGATCATGCACTACGGTCTCCACGACTTTAGTATCAACCAGCTGCAGACTCTGCTGCCGATCACGCGTGTCGGTGACCGCGACACGGTTCGAGAAGACCTCTTTGCACGACTCGGTCAGCGGCAGCGGTTGAGCACTGGCGACGTCCAAGCCATCACTGAGCTGTATGGTGGCGAGGTCGCTCGATGACTTGTTGAGTATTTCATGCAACGGCAATTCAAGTACCCACATGGAGTGGGGGTCTTTCTCCTTGCCATGGACGTGTGTGTTGTCGACCGATGGATGGAGACAAGGTGGTGCCTCGACAAGACACGTACGACTCGCATATCCAGTTCCTATTACACAGCTCAATTGGGCTTTTGGCGCTTCAGCGTCTGCTCTTCCATCTCTCGCGCTTCGGCCAATTGAATGAGATCGGTGGCAATCTTGTTGACAGCAGCGTAGTTTTCTTGCAGTTGCTAGACAGACACTATGAGCGTTCGAGTTTGCTGAGAGGTAAAATGTGTACGGCATTCTCCATGAGCAGCTCGTCTTGCTTTGCCTACACGTTGCCGTCGCATGAGCTTTCTGTAGGGTTGACGGTCAAGATATAGTACCTCGAGCTCGTCGACGCGTCGCTTGAGTGTGTGCGTGTCTTGTGTCTAGTGACGGCATCTCTGAGACTCCTCCGAAGGAAACCTGTAGTGTACCTTTAGTACGTCGATCTCGGCTTGCAGCTCCTTTGCCCGGTGCTCGGCCGCGTTGAGACGGTAGCGCTACTTTCAACATGAGCCACATAATCGGATAAAACAGGAGCATCGCACAAGCGAGGCGTCCGCTTTCTGGAGCTGCTCGGCCTTGCTTTGCAAGACGGCCTTTTCAGTCTCGAGCTGCTTGACGCGCGCACGCAGTCCTTCCGTCATCGCTTCGTCGTTATGGATGTTTTGTTTGACGTCTTCGAGCTCAGTGGTCAAGCGCTCGTTCTCTTCTTGATATTTCTACGCGTCGTACGCTTGCACTGGTCGTAGCGTAGCGTGGGAAGATACCTTGACGTCGCTCTGGACAAGGGTCAGCGCACTCAGTACGCTCTGGTACTCGGCCTTGATCGTGTCCACCTCGGCGCGCGTCGCGTCGCCAATCTCATCCTTGAGCCGCTCCATGTCTTCGGCCCGCTGGTGCTCCTTGGCATCGACGCGGTGCTGAAAATGAGAGATAGACTAGGCAGCCCATGAGATGCCATCACCACCGGTCGAGGGTCCGAAGAACCTGTGCGAGGACAGTCTCAGTCTGCTGGTACTTGACGATCTGGTGCTCGAGGACCGCGATGCGTCGCGTGAGCTGCAAGCGCTTCTCCCGCAGCTGAAGACACTCGTTCGCGAGCGTCTCGCGCGCGGTGCGCTCGACCTCGAGCGCTGCCTAGCGAGTCCAGCAAGTAAGGTGAGGAATTCTGTGCATGAGCCATCGATGGTCGTACAACGAGTGCTTCCCGTGCCGTTGTATCGCTGGTTGCAGCAGCTTTTTCATCCTCAAACTGCATGAGCTTTTCTATACGCAGCGATATATATGATGAAACCAAGGACGCATGGAGGAGCATGTACGGAGCGCTGTCTTGGTCGCTTCATGCGTCTGGAGAAGGAGCTCGCGCTCGGTCTGGACGTTCACGAGCTCGATCTGGACGTGACGATGCGACTCCATGACGTCCGCCATCTTCTTCTTCCACTTGTGCTCGGCCTCCAGCTACATGCCCATGCTTCCTTAGTACCGTTGGATAGCTTGCGAGCTAGTAGACGTACGTGGGCTTGCTGGATGAGCAGCGCGAGCTGGGCGCCCGAGTACGTCTCGTCCGGGCGGATGCGCTGGAGCGCGCTTGCCTCGCTTCCGTCGACGTGCTCCTCGACCTTGACGTGGTCTTCCTCGGCTTGGTTGTCTTCGCGCTCGGGCCCATGTCCCTTGGTCTCGTCCGGCGTCCCCATGCCGCAGTCGCGCGGATCTCTTGCCCTCGTCGCCAACTGCGTTTTAAAAGTTTGAACAGGAATGATCCGGATAAACGTCTCCGGATAACCTTTAACGTGGGCAGAACGGAGCGCCGTGAGTAATGCCTTTCCCGCACGTCAACGTTTTTCACATGGATGTGGGAATTACCGATGATTAAAAACCACGGTGAAAAAGTCGACGGTGAAACAGCGCATCCAGCGGGTCAAGGAGGCCAAACTTTGCGTGGCAAAGGTCGAGACGGCACCCCTCCGCAACACGCCCAACGAACAACCGCACGACGCTTATGCATGCGCTAGCGCATGCTGCGTGCTTGACCTTGCTTGGGCGTCAGGCTCATGTGTCTGATGTTACAGTATTTTGCGGGATGGACGACGGTGTAAACAGTGGATGCGAATCCATCTCCCACACGCTGGATGAAGCGAGGGCACCCCAATGCTCGTTTCGGTAAAGCACAAATGTTCAAGTTGCTGTGTCCTCGAGAGACCACGCGGCGCGCCGTCGGCTACCCCGAGTTGCTGCCGACTCGTTCCTTTGAAGGGTGTCGCTGGATCACACTATTTTTGAAATCGAAAATAGTATGACGCACAGTATTCTCCGGGATTTCCTCTGTCGTGGTTGGTTGGGTGGGCTTGCGTCCAATGAATGGCCCAACTTGGTGTGCTCCACCAACCAGATCCAAAATCTTAGTTTTGCGGCCGATCAAGATGGCGTCTACGCAGAAGCACCGCTTGACCGCGTTCAGCCCGTGCCAGGCGTCGTTCGTGACCGTCTCGGATGACAACCGCGTCAAGCTCTGGGATGCGGTACGCAGCGCCTGTCCTTTCCGACTTTGCACTTATGCCATCGCTACAGGCATCCGGCGCGCTTCGCTCCGAGTTGAAGGAGCGCGATCACTTGAGCTACAAGTACACGTGCTTGGCGTGGTCCAAGTCGTCGCCGTGGGTATGCCTTTGCCTCCGCCCCATACACCATGCTCAAAATGGATTGACTGTAGGCGGCCGCTGGGAAGAAGGCCAAGCGTAGCGCCGCGGGCGACCTTGGCATCATTGCGCTCGGTACGACCACGGGTGCCATCATCGTGTGGAACCTCGAGAAGGGCGAGGTGGCCGCGCGCCTTGCGCGTGACAATGTAGGCTTGCTTGATTGCACTTATCGCGTTGGCTCACCAATCTCCTGCAATAGAACGACCACGGCCACGGTTCGGCGGTCACCGATATTGTGTTTTCGTCGACGGGCACGTCGCTCTTTTCGTCGGCGGCGGAGAAGAACGTGTTTGAATGGAACGTCAAAGACGCCAAGATGCTCCGCAAGATCAAGGTCGGCTCGGACGGCGCGACCAAGCTCGCGCTCTCGGCCAACGACGACGTCCTTGCGGTCGGCGCGAGCTCGATCAAGCTCTTTGACGTTGTCTCGGGCAAGAAGAGCAAGCGCCTCACCTTTGGCCACGCGTCGGCCGTCACGCAGCTCTTTTTCTCGGCCTGCGGTCGGTACCTCTTTTCGTCGTCGGCCGAGCGGTTTGTCAACGTCTTTGACGCGACGTCCGACTCGGAGGACCCGCTGTACAACTTCTCCTGCGACTCGACGCCGGTGCACGTGCACGGTCGCGTGACTGTCGCCAAGAAGGCCAAGAACTCGACGGCCATTGTGGTCGCGACCACCGAAGCCGGCGCAGTCTTTGTATGGACGCACACCATGACGGCCGCGTCCAAGCCGATTGCGGCCGTTGCCAAGGTGCTCTCGTCGGCGGTCCTTGTCGCGTCGCTCACGTCGGCGACCGAAGCCTCGGTCATCGTGGCCCGCGGTGCCGCCATCAAGCCGCATTTCGAGACGGTCGCGCTTGTGGATGCGGATGGCGCCTTCCGTGGCGACATTACGCTCGAGGCGCTGGACAACACGGGTCTTCTCCTTGAGAAGCCGTCCAAGAAGGCCAAGACGGCGGACGAGACCGAAGCCAAGACGCATGTACCGTCGCTGCTTGAGCGCGGCTCGGCCAAGACGTCGACTGCGACGGACGCGACGGTGGCGCAGGACGAGGACGAGGATGAAGACGAAGCGACGCTCGGTGAACGCGTCCAGGCGCTGGCCGATGAGCTTGAGCACAGCGAAAACGAAGACGAGGACGCGGACACGGTCTTGACGTACCAGTACCGCAGCACGTCGCGCGTCAAGGCGCAGGCGTCGTCGGCGTCGCTTGTCTCGGTGCTGGAGCAGGCGCTGCAGTCCAAGGACAATGTGCTGCTTGAAAACTGCCTCCGCGTCCACGACTTGAAGGTCATTGACGAGACGTGTCGCCGCCTGAGCCCGACCAAGGTGTTCCCGTTCGTGCTGTTGCTCGTTGAGAAGTTGGAGAAGCGCCCGACGCGTGGCGCCACCCTCTGCCTCTGGATCAAGTACCTTCTTTTGAACCACACGGCGTACCTCATGACGGTGCCGGACGTTGTCGACAAGCTCTCGGGCCTCTACCAGGTATGTTTCTCATTTTTTGTATTTTCCATTTGAAAATGCTCATATGCTACACTAGGCACTTGATGCGCGCCTGACGGTCTTCCCGCAGCTGCACAAGCTCAACGGCCGCCTGAACCTCGTCCTTGGCCAGATTGCGGGTCGCGCCAACGCGATCGCGGTTGACGAGACGCCGCTGGTGACGTACCGTGAAGACGATGAAGACGCCGGCGACGACGACAACGACGACGAAGAGACGGCCGACGACGATGACGACGCCGAGGATGACGAGAACGACGAGGACGATGAGGACTCGGAGTAACTTTGTGCACACGATAGATTGATTACAACTACTAATAGATATTAACAAGACGACAAACACCACATACATGCGTAGACTGGACTCGATGCACCCTTATACGTCATCCGCACTCGTGCTTGGAGGCAACTCTGATCCAGCGACCAACCTTGCCGAGTACTAGTATAACTTAGTAGCGTCGTCTCAACTATGAAACCAACGGGTTAGGGTCAATGCGATATACATTCATGACACCGACTTTAGCCAAATGGCGTCGTATGCCTCCGTGGAAGCAAGGTTCAGCTCACTACTGTAGCTGCTGTTAAATTCGATGCGAAGACCGATGGTTGTGACAAGAAGACGTCGCGATGCTAGCCTGGTCAGTGAGATACTTGAGAACGCAGGCAAATTTTCACTAGATTCAAAATGCGACGCATTTCACGATGCGTCTGAGTCCAGACTGGCTGCTGGTGTGGAACCCGCAAGGCTTATCGTGCGATAGTTGGTGAAGAAACTATATTGTATCATGACCGTTTCTGCAGACGGGACTATTAGCTTCGTGGCGAAGCGACTGTCAAGAGCCCCGTGCAGATAGTTCGACTGCGAAGGGTTGTGAGGTAGCGTCAACGACACAGACAGTTGCCATGTGTTGCCTTGGTGCCGGGTCGTGACGGCTCTGTATAATCTCCGACATGTACTTACACATCTATACCGCTTGAAATAGCACCTTGATACATCCTGAACAACACAGCACAGCGCATCATCGTCTGCAAATGAACTGTATACTAGTAGGCTACACTCTGCGACGACCAAACCTCACTTTTCGAAATGCTTCGTTCCGCTGTCGTCCTCGCCGCCTCCTTGGCGACACTCGCCACCGCAACCCCGGACAACGAGTGGCACAAGTGCCCGCTCATCTCGTCGATCGGGAATGCGACCCACTTCACGGACTACCCTTTGTCGGTCTTCGAGGAGCTCTCCGTCGAGTGCCTCCACCTCCAAGTCCCCATGTGCTACCCGAACGTGTGCACGAGCAACAAGACGCTCAGTGTCTTTCTCAAGCGCATTCCGGCGACTCGGCCAACGACGCCGGGCAAGGCTGTGTGGCTCATGCAAGGCGGTCCTGGCATGTCGGCCGTTAGCAGTACGTCACCGTCACTCTGCGTCCCTTCTCATATGCCCCACTTGTTGTAGTGGAAGTGAAGATGGCCAGGGTCTACAAGGCCGCCAACGGCACCATGAGCCTCTACACAATGGACTACCGCGGCGCTGGACGCAGCTCGCCCTTGATAGCCACGTGCCCCGAGTTCCAAGGCATGTCCGACGTCGTCGACATCGCCGGTGCCTTCGCCAACTGCGTCCAGAAGCTCAAGAACACCTATGGTATGGTTTATCAACGAGATCAATTGTGCTCAATGTTATGCTATGCAATAGGCTCGGAGGCGCCCAAGGTATTCTCCGTCACGAGCGCGGCGACAGACCTCGCAGCGATCATCCAGAGTCCGCTGCTCGCTGCGGACGACGTCTTTGTCTACGGCGTGAGCTACGGCACGTACTTGGTCGAGCGTTTGATGCACCTCGCGCCCAAAAACGTCAAGGGCTACGTCCTCGACAGCATTATCAGCGAGAGCCCGGTTCGTCAGTTCAGCGACTGGGACCGCGACGTGGCAAAGATCGGTACGTGTATACATATGTGTTGTGTAGGGGTCGGGTTTTGATCTATTTTTGGATATAGAGAAAACGTACTATGGGCTCTGCGATCAAGACCCGATATGCTCGTCCAAGATTGGTCCCAACTCGAAGCAGTTTGCTCTCGATCTCTACAAGAAGCTCGATGCGAACGACACGGCGTGCGCCCAAAAGATCTACGCGGCGAAGGGTCTGCCGTCGGACTTTGTTGGACGGCTCTTTTCCGACATGATGCACACGTATCGTCAGCGCAACATGATTCCCGCAATCCTCTACCGCCTCTCGCAGTGCGTGCAAAATGTCGACAGCCAAACGCACTTTGTGACGGCGCTGCTGGAACGGCCGCTGATGCCTGACGACGACCAGACGGCCAGCGCAGACGTTCTGCCGGGCGACAAGGACTCGTGGAAGGCGGCAACCGACACGCTTCTCTACAACACCATTGTCATGAACGAGCTCTGGGTCTCGGGGGCGCCAATGCCGTCGCTCGACCGCTTACGCCATTGAAAAGATCACGTGGCGTGCGTCCTCAATGCAGTCGATGCGGCAGAAGGTCATGTGGATGTGCCTCATCAGCGGCGTCATCGACCCCGTTT